ATTAGGGTTTGAACATGGTAGGGCATATCTGTAGTCCCAGCACTTTGTAACTGGAGGTAGAAATATTACTTGAGACCAGGAGCTCAAGTCTAGCCTGAGTAACAGGGAAACCCTGTCTAAAAAGGGCATCTTTCTGGTTTTGTCTTTTGACAGAGATTGTAAAGAATTGGCATAATTTCTTCCTTAAGCCTTTGTTAGAATGCACCAGGAATCCACGTGGGCCTGGTGCTTTCTGTTTTAGAAGGTTATTCATTCTTGATTCAACTTCTTTACTAGATAGAGACCTATTAAGATGATATATTTCAAGCTGGGTACATGCCTCTCATCCCAGTACTTGGGAGGTAGAGGTGGGAGGATCAGTAGTAGTTCAAGGCCAGCCTTGGCTACCTACCACATTCAAGACCAGCCTGGGCTACATGAGACCCTGTCTCAATTGCTACCCACCCCTGCAAAAGATTACTCATTTTCTCTGAGTCTTAGTCAATTATAGCTTTCAGAAAATCAACTCATTCCATCTAGGTTATTAAATTAGTAGGCTCGGCAGTCCTGTATTATCCCTGTAATGACGATGGGATCCATAGGGATAGCCCCTTTTATTTCTGATATTAGTAATTTGTATCCTCTTTCTCCTTAATGGTCTTGGCTAGACACACTGATTTTATGGATCTTTTCAAATAACTACCAGTTGGTTTCACTGACTTTTCTCTTTTTTACATTTTTTTAATTAATTTAGTGAGTGTGCATGTGAGTGTGTATGTGAATGCCATGTGCACACATGCTATGTGTATGTGTGGAGGTCAGAGGGAAATTTTCAGAAATTGTTTCTTTCCTTTTACCATGGGATCTTGGGATTGCACTCGGGTTTGCAGGCTTTCCCAGCAAGTGCTTTTATCTGCTGGGCCCAGGCTGGCCTGGGATTTTCGGTCCTCCTGCCTGGAATTCAGGCCTTCCTGGTTTTCTTTTCTAGTAAATGCGTTCAGCATTTTACATCTCCCTCTAATCACGAATGTTAATACATTGTGTTTGCATTTGTCAAAATATTTACATTTCTATTGAGCTTTTTGGACCTATGTGTTAATTAGAAGCATATTGTTTAACTTTCAAGTGTTTGGGGGATTCCCTAGTTATCATTCTGTTACTGCTTGCTAGTTTAATTGTATTGTAGTCTGAAAATGTATGTTGTATGATCTCTATTCTTTTAAATTGAAAGAATGCAGACCAGAACGTGGTCTATACTAGTGAATATTCTGAGTTTGAGATAAAAAAAAAATTGTATTCTGTTGCTGTTAGCTAAAGTAATCTACAGACGTCAGTTATATCAAGTGACAGTGCTACATTACTGATTTTTTACCTTGATAGATCCATTGATTTCTGCCCAAAGGGTATTGAAGCCTCCAGTTAAACTATATGTTAGTTTTTGTTTCGCATGTTTTGATGCCCTGGTATTAGGTTTTCATTCACACTGAGGATTGCTAAGTCTTCTTGGAGAACTGGTTTCTTCATTGTATGCATTAATAAGCACTGCTTAGAGTGCCTGTGATTATCCCTGATAATTTTCTTTACTTCTGAAGTTTGTTGTCTAAAATTAATATGAAACTCTAGTTTTCTTTTGATTAGGGTTGACATGTGCCACCATGCCCAGATTAAAGTGAGGGTTTCTTTGTAGAAAACATACAATTGGGACTTTTTAAAATTCATTGTGGAAAACTGTTTTACCTAATGTATTTAGACTACTGACAGTATTTATTGGTATGGTTTGGGGCAAATACTATCAGATTTGTTACATTTTTATTAATTGCCCTTGTTTTTTTAATCCAATTTTTGTTTCTCTTTCTCCTGCTTTTTATGGCTTTAACAGCATTTTCTACATTTTCTAGCATTTCTACAATTACATTTCCTCTTTTTTAAAAAATATTTTTATTCTTTGAGAATTTCATATGTGCATTTATAGAATATTTTGAACGTATTCACCCTGTTCCTCCCCCTAACTCTTCCCACATCTACCCCTCACTCCCCACCCTGTCCCAAATCGGTGTCCTTTTTAAAAATATAACCCACTAAGTCCAATTTGTGCAACCCATATCCTCTTGGTGTGGAGCCATCCAATGGAGCATGGTTGACCTATCAGGGGCCACACTGCCTCTCCCCTCCCCTAGAAGCCGTCAACTGTCTATAACTCTTCAATTAGAGCTGGAGGCTCGGAGCCCCTACCATGCTGCAATGTTGACTGGCTTGATCATATGCAGGCAAGCACAGCTGCTGTGAGTTCATGAGTACAGTGGTCCTGTCAGGTCCAAATGACACTGATTCATTCCTGTCCTCCCTTACACTAGTTCCACTCCTCGTCCACAGTGGTCCCTGAGCCTTGAGGGCAGGGGATGTGATGCAGATGTCTCATTTGTGGCTGAGTATTCCACGAACACTTATTCTCTGCATTTTGACCAGTTGTGAATTCCTCTCCTCTTTTAAGCGTAGTGATTGCACATCTTTCTGATCTTTTCTTAAGATGCCCTAGAATTAGCAATACACATTAAAAAAATTCAAGTCTACCTTCAAATAGCAATATACTAAATATTTATAAGCTAAGAATTCCTAATCTTCCTGGTTTTTGTATCATCTACTTATACACAAATTATCATCACTTGATAATGTTGCTAATATTTTGAACAATTTTATCCATTAGATAAAAAATGAAAAAAATTGTAACTCCATTTATTCATTTCCTAATGCTCATCTTTTCTTGATGTAAATTTTCTGGCCTATATCATCACCTTTCCTATGGAAGTATTCCCTTTAGCATTTTTTAAAATATTTTATTTATTATTTTTTAAACTTTATGAGTGTATTGCCTGGATGTATGTGAGTGCACCTGTGTCATGCATTGCTGTGGAGGTCAGAAGAGGGCTTCGAATTCCCCTGGAACTGGAGTTAAGGATGGTTCGTAGCTGCCATGTGGGTGCTGGGAACCGAACCTGGGTCCTCTGCAAGAGGAGCCAGTGCTCTTAACCTCTGAGCCATCTCTCCAGACCCTTAGCATTTCTTATAAGGCAGTTCTACCAGTCACAAACTCCCCCAGTTTTGTATCTTTTAGACAGTATTTCTGGCAAACTCTGAAGGATAATTTTGCAGAAGCCTAAGTTAGTGGATTCTTTCCCCCCAATACAGTAAGTATTGACTTCATTCTCTTCTTGTTTGCAGGGTTTCTGAGAAGCTAGATGTAATTCTTATCTTCATTCCTCTATAGGTAAAATTTTCCTCACTCTGGTTCAAGACTTTTTTGTTTAGCTTTGGTTTTTCTGTCATAAGTGTAGTTTTGCTGTTGCTCCAGGCAGTGATCCTGTACTGTGCCTCCTGAATTCTTTACATCTATGTCTTGGTATCTGACATTAGGTTGAAATGCTCACTTTCTGCTTCAAATACTCTTCAAGGTTTGTTTCATTCTTCATTTCATTTTACAGCGTGTTTTATCTCTGTCATTCATTTTTTAAAATTTTTCTTGGAGCTTCTCCCTCTTCACTTTCATTACCCCCTTTTCTTGTATGCTGTCCACTTTCCACATATTCTTTTTAAAAATATTTTATGATTTTTATTTTATGTGTATGCATGTACTGCCTGCATGTTGGTAAGTGCACCCATGTCGTGCAATGCCCTCGGAGGACAGAATAGGCTGTCGGATCCCCTGAAACTGGAGTTACGGACAGTTGTTAGCTGCCATGTGGGTGCTGGGATTCGAACCCGGGTCTTCTGCAAGAACAACCAGTGTTCTTAACCACTGAGCCATCTCTCCAGCCCCTCCCCATCATATTCTTTAACATATTAGAATTTTGGATAAATTCCTAACTTGATCATTCTAATATCCTTGCCTTCATCCTCTGGTGCTTGCTCTCGCTTACACTATGATTTCCACCTTTCAGTATACCTTGCGATTTTTGGGTGAACTTCAGATATGATATAGCTGGTCACAGAAAGCCAGCATCAGCTCCCACAGCGATTTTTGCTTGTGTAATTTTACTCTGGTAAATTGTGATTCTTTGTATTCATTTGTCTCTCCAATTTTGTGACCAGATATTTACTTTGTGGCCGCAATTCCCTAACGTGTAAGAAATGCTGAGTTTGTTCCGATATTACTTGTTAGGAGAGATTACATATATGCAGTTCCTTAGTTGTCTTTCTTTATGTCTAATCAATTCTCTACTGAAAAGTATTATTTCAAAATCACAATCTTGCTATTACAAATAACATCACAGAAAATAGCCTTTTACAAGTAACTTTGTGTAGTTGTATGTTTTCATAGAATAAGTTTCTACAAGAAGAATTTCTTTAAATGCATATGACCAGGACTGGAGAAATGGCTGTTAAGAACACTGGCTATTTTTGCAGAGGACCCAAGTTTGGCTCCCAACACCCACATGGCAGCTAACAACCATCTATCACTTCAGTTCCAGGAGATCCAATTCTCTCTTCCGGGGTCCATGGGCATTAAACTACACAGATGCACTTACATATCTGCAGGCAAAAATCTCATACACATATAATAAAGATAAATTTTTTAAAATTTAAATACAACCGGCATGGTGGCACATGCCTTTAATTCCAGCACTTGGGACACAGAAGCAGGCAGATCTCTGTGAGTTCAAGGTCAGCCTGGTCTACATAGTGAGTTCAAGGACAGCTAGGGCTACAGGAAGACTCTATCTCAAAAAGACCCCCCCCCAAAATTTAAATATATATTACCTAGCTGCTCCTTAAAACAGTTGTTCAGTCCCACCAATAGCATTTGAGAGTGTTTATTTCGCCATAATACCTATGTATTCTAAAATCCTTACCAGTCTGACAAGAAACAAGGGATGGTTTGCTGTAGCTTGAATTTTTATTACTTGCAAGACTAAATATTTTGTTTATTAACTATTTGGCATCTTCCATAGGACTGCATAATTTTAGTACATCTATTCTTGAACGGAAAGTGATGAATAATAGACCGTCAAAATTCTCAACCCTAGGTGTTATTATCCAAGTTATATGGTGCACAGGGGACATTTTATTTTACTTCACATTCACCTGGTGAACACATCATTTGCTTTGAATCTAATTCTACACGACTTGTGTCATTTGGAGGCAGTAAGCTGGTGAGTACATGTCTGCATGTTCTGTTGATGACACAGCATCACTATTCAAGCACGACATTGGTATGCAAAGCCATCACACTCAGACTGCCTGGAAACTTATTAAAGTTCTGTGCCCAGATCTCAGTGCAGCAACCAAAGAGGGAGCTGGAGAGCTTAGAAGGTGTTCAAAGGAGAGCCATGAAGTTGATTAAAGGGTTTGAAAAATAAGAGCTGTGAGGGAGGTTAAAAGAATTGTGATTACTCAGGCTTGAAAACAAGTGATGGCTGAAGGGTAAATTAATAATGGAATTCTAATAAAGAGAACTCGTCCATAGTAGATGGTGATAGGCTGTTTTCTAAATGTTGCTAAGAACAGCTGAAGGAAATCTGACTTCATACAAAATTCAGCTACATGTAAAGAAAAACTTCCCGAGAGAATTAATCAAATTTCCTTAACACCAAAATCATTTACATGACAGTAAATTTGATATCCATGAAGGTATAAATATAGTTTCAGGTTAATAGGTTACCATTTAATGCACTGCTGTTGTAAGTACAACTACGAAGCAGAATACAGAACAGAGTGGCAGTATGGGGGGATAAAGTAGATCAGTAATGACGTGACACTCACGAAAGGGTGGAAGTGAGAGGGAGGAGGAAGGCAGTAACACACACAGAAAGCAAGGGAAAAGGCTGCAGCTAGGTTTTAAAGCACGCTGTTTTGTCCCCTTTTCACTGTTCACACAGCGTATCCATTTAGATATTCGAGTTGGAGAACATGACCTTGATGCAGCTATTGCTCAAGCAAAGGACAAAGTTAACGAAGTTACCTTCAAGCTTCAACGTATAATTGAACAAACGGAGCAAATAATCAAAGAACAAAACTATCAAAGGGTCAGTCTGTCTACTCAGCTTATTTTATCTCTTCCTGTCAGTAACACAGTTCTCAACACAAAACCCCGGGACCAAAGAAAGAACGAACTGCTTATTGCTCAGTCTTCCTAAACTACAACTGTGTGGGTGTCAAGGGAATGGGGAGAGATCAATCTTTCTTCCCTCTGCTGGTCATGAGTTTCTCTAGGAACAAGGGCTTAGGCTTATTTGCCTTTCATCTCCCATACCTATAAGCAAAGTCTCCATCCAGTAGCAAAGAGCGAGAGCTTCCAGAACGAATAGAGGAATGCTTCCAAACAGGCTCCATATATCTGTAGAGACCCAAATACACAGGCATTCTGGATCAAAGTTTTATTCTTGTGACATCAAGTGTTTTTCAAGTCACTGTGTTCAGTGGATGCTGGCCAGATGTGGGCTCAAATCTCTACCACTCACTAACCTGTGTCAGTACCAAGTTGCTTCTTTACCTGAAAAATAAAGATGAGGTATGATAATTATGTAAAACAGGCAAGTGCGTGTCATGGTGCTCAGCATAAAGATTTAAATGATGAAAACCTAGTGACAGATAAGAACTAAGTAATAATCACTTTGCCTGATGGCAGAAAAGGTATCAATAGATCAAGTTCCTGCATTTTACAGCAAAATTCAAGAATGCGTTTTGTAAACTTGGCTAAATAACAGATTCTGGCTTAGGAAAAGATATTCCACTTTTCTATATTAATTGGATAACATTAAATATCAAGAACATATACAGCACCCCCCCATCATACACTAAGTACTTTAAGAAACTAAACCCAGCCCAGCATGGTGGTGTATGCCTTTAACCTTTAATCCCAGCACTTGGAAGGCAGAGGCAGGAAGATCTCTGTGAGTTCAAGGCTAATTTGTTCTACGTAGTGAGTTTCAGACCAGCTGAGGCTATAAGGAAATTCTGTCTCAAAAAAAGAAAGACACACACACACACACACACACACACACACACACACACACACACACAAAACCCTAAACCCATTTCTTTTCTTTTCTGTCTAGGACCGTGAAGAAAATTTCCGAATGACCAGTGAAGATACAAATAGAAATGTTTTATGGTGGGCTTTCACACAAATATTAATCTTTGTCTCAGTTGGAATTTTTCAAATGAAGCACCTGAAAGATTTCTTTATAGCTAAGAAGCTTGTATAAAATTTTATAAATGAAAGCCAATAATTTGCATGTTTGAATTAATAAACCAAAATATAATTATAAATGTGTTACTTTTATGATTTTATGGTTGCAACCCTGATAAAATGTTACTTTAATAAAACAGCTTCTGAATTTGATAAAATAAGCAAATCACATTACTGTGAACTTGATCTATCAGCACTGTCCAATAGAAATAAAGTTATGCGCTACAGATGCAATTTTTTCTGGCCACACATTAAAAATGTTGCAAAAGGGTGTGATTTTAATCCCTGTGACATATATTTAACTCAGTGTATTGAAAATACTAGCTGGCAGGGCATGGTAGTGTGGACATGTATGTAGAGCTAGCTCTTGTGGAGGTAAAGGCAGGAGGATCCCTTGAGTCTAAGCAGAGACTAGCCTGACACAATAGGAGATCTTGTTTCCAAAACACACAACACACACACACACACACACACACACACACAAAATACTTTCATTTTAAAGTGCACTCAGTCTAAAGCTATTAAGAAGATAAGTTTGGACACCTGATTTGTATGTTATGCTCAATGCATGTTCCAACTTAGACCAGCCACACATTTCAAGGGCTTACTGATCACATGAAAATCATAGCTATAGTAACACAGAGATGAACTACATCCCTTCCCTATCTCATTCCACTAAGAATCAATCACTAAGACTAAGAAACAATCACCGAATCTCTTACTTTTTCCAGATTCACTTTTTTTTTTTTCATATAAGTAAATGGCCCAGGAACTTTCTTACAGATTTCACTAATCCTTGAAGATTTATAAAGGGGCTGGGGTAGTAGGGTATATTCAGCATTGTGTAAGGAATGTCACTATTTAAAAATAACTTTTTAACTTTTAGTATTGAAATGATTTTAATATCAGAATTTGCCAAAATGGCTCCTTCCATCATCTATTGTTTTTCAAAAGGAAATGACCTCTGAATTAGCCCTTGTGTATGTGTAGGAGGCAAGCAGGGATCTCTGCCTGGCCCTGCCCTACTTCTATAGTGCGACCCAATGCAAACCCTCCCGATCACGGTTCACTCAGTGACCTGGTCCCCCCAGACCTGGTCCATATCTCCATCCCCCACCCTCCTGGTAGTCCTTTCTTCCATTCCTGCTAGAGACCTTTGGCTCTCTCTATTCTCTTTGGTCCGTTTCCTCCCCACCCTCATTATAGTGGGTACCATTGTCCCTGGCCCAAATCTCCACCCTGAGGCCTGGTTCAACCAGTCTCCTTTGGCGTCCATTACCCCCTGGCTATTTCTCACCCTGTCTCCCTGGCCACCCACCCTCACGGTGAACCAGAGGCCGCTGTCCCTGCAGCACACAGCTCTGCTTTCCCTCCGTCAGCTTTCCTAAGCCATCTCAGCAGGCCTGTTGGTTTTGGCGGGAAGGCACGCCCTCGTGCAGGCGCACGAATGCATGCGCAGGCGCAGAACCGCTTCCTACCGCTTCCGGGTTGTGGAAGGTGGGTCTTGGCCTCTCTTGGCCTCGCGCGACAGGCGGGCCTTCCGGCATGGCCAGCTGGGTTTTCTGTAACCGCTGCTTCCAGCCTCCGCACCGGAAGTCGTCCTTCAGCCTGACCAGCTGCGGGCACGTGTACTGCGACGCCTGCCTCCGCCAAGGTGCGCGCGGGCGGTGCGGGCGGGGAGCCTCGAGGGCTGCGCGCCTCCAGGTCTCAGAACCCCACGGTTCGCGGGGTGAGGGGACGGGACCCTCTAGGGCGGCGCACCCCTAGGCCTTGGAACCCCACCGGGCGCAGGGTAAGGGGACGAGGACTCGAGGCCGGCGCAAGCCCCAGACTTGGAACCCCACTGGGCGCGGAGTGGGGCTGGCGAGGAACCTCAGGGCGGCTCCAGGCCCCGGAACCCCACTGGGATTCCTGACTGGTGCTGTGGGAAGCAGCCTCGGGGTACGGGGCCTGAGGTAGGAAGCTGGTTCAGGTGATCCCAGCTGAGGACTTTATGTGAATATTTTTTGTTGCTGTTGTTGAAATAAAGCTTCTGCAGGTTTAAAAGAATAATTTTTTAAAAAGATGAAGTGGATTTTCACAACGGTGATCTACCCATTGAATCTGGCAAATAAAGGCTTATTAAGGTGCACCACCAACACTCAGAAGCTCTCAAGAATGACTTTGAGGTCTCATTTTCTGCCCGGCCCTGATTCTCTGCGAGCTTGCACACAGTGATTAGTGTGGGCACGGTACACAGGTGCCACAGCCGTTTCGAATTCTGTGTGGCCACACCAACTAACTCATCAGTTGGACTGATAGGAGGTTTTCAGATTTGTGGCAGCCGCTGCTTCTGGGTGCACTCTGGTCACACAAGTGCAACCAAGAATAGAATTGCTGGGTTTCTGCTATATATTTTAAAAGGGGGTCTGGAGAGGTGGCTCAGCAGTTAAGAGCACTGATTGCTCTTACAGAGGACCTGGGTTTGATTCCTAGTACTCACGTGGCGGCTAACAACTGCCCTTAACTCCAGTTCCAGAGGATCTGACACCCTCTTCTAGCCTCCATGGGCATTGTATAACTTGGCTGCACCTACCTATATGCAGGCAATACGCTCATACACATAAAATAAAAATAACAAATAAAATTTGCTAAAGGAAATCTGGTGGCGGTGCAAAGTAGTCTGGAGTGAGAAATTAAGGAGAAGCTGTGCAGTGTGGCATGTGAGAAGCAGTGGGGACAAGATGGGGCAAAGGTGGAGGGAAGTGGTGGTTTGGGGAAAGGCTCTGTAGATTGACCAGTTTTGATTTAAGAAATGGGGGAAGCTGAATAGCTTTTTTGCTGATGGCTACTGGGCAGGGGAACAGCAGAGTGGGGAGAGAAGTTGGTAAGCTCTCCTTAGAGGCTGTCCTATGAGAGCTGTCCAGGGAGGAAACAGGAGGCAGTTGTGTGGGGAAATCTGGAACTCGAAAAAGTCAGGAATATATATGGCTAGCTGGTAATATGGAAGTGCCAAGTTTTAGGTAACTACAGGATGCTACCACCTTGGAAAGTTTGTTTTATATATGGTGTGTAGAGACAGAAGAAAAACATTGGATAACAAATGAAGTAAGCTGGATGTAGTGTGTGCCTTAAATCCCAGCACTTGGGAGGCGGAGGCAGGCAGATTTCTGTGAGTTCAAGGCCAACCTGGTCTACATAATGAGTTCCAGGCTACCCAGGTCTACATAGACCCTGTCTCAAAACAACAACAACAACAACATTTGACAAAATCAATAAACTATTTGGGGGCTGGAGAGATGGCTTAGTAGTTAAGAGCACTTACTGCTCTTCCAGAGGATCCAAGTTCAGTTCCCAACACCTACATGGCAGCTAACAACCATCTGTAACTCCAGTTCCAGGAGATCCAATGCTCTCTTCTCACCTCTGAGGGTGCATACATAGAAGCAGAGCACTCCTACACATAAAATAAAAAAGAAGGAACTGAGGCCAAATTTCTCTCTGAGGTCAAAGAATCAGTGTTTCATAATATTGATTGGGTTAGCAACAGATGTCACTGCTAACCTAAGGTAATGTTAGAGTGATAGACGTGTACCTTCACACTGTTGAACGTTATGAGGCCCACAGTTGGCAGTGGCTGGTTTAGAGCTTGGGGTTGGGGTGGATATTTAGGTACTTCTGGCCCTTGAATCCTGAGGCCAACAAAGGCTGCAGTAGCCTGAGGCCATTGGAAACAAACCAAACCAAGGGACTCACAGAAAAGAGATAGGGGGTTCTGGGCAGAGAGCTGTCTAGTGATCTGTGCTCATGTGCCCTTGGTAAGATCTGGTGCATATCCTTCCAGACTTTTTCAGGTGATACAGAAATTTTACATTTATTTTTTTTTGGGGGGTGCATGTCCATATGTGTGGAGATCAGAGGACAGCCTGTTGGAGCTGCATCTCTTCTACCATGTGGGTTACGGATATTAAACTCAGGTTATCAGGCTTATTGGCAATGCCTTTACCCAAGATGAGCCATCTTGTTGGCCTGTAATGGCAAAGATTTTTGTTTTTTATGTATATAAGTGTTTTGCCTGCATGTATTTGTTAGTTGCCATGTAGGTGCTAGAAACTGAACCTGGGTCCTCTGTAAGAGCATCCAGTGCTCTTAACTGCTGAGCCATCTTTCCAGCCCCAGTGGTGTAGATTTTTAAAGCAACAGTGATATAATGTGTATACCATTTAGTGATCTGCTTTTACTGCCTGTAAGGGCATGGACTGCTTTTACCATTAAAATTAGTCTGTATCATCATTTTTTTGTTTGTTTGTTGTTTTGAGACAGGGTTTCCCTATAGACCAGATTGGCTCCATCTCACAGAAATCTGCCTGCCTCAGCCTCTCAACTGCTGCGATTAAAGGTGTGCACCACCACATTCAGCCTGTGTCATCAATTTTAAGGTTGTAAGCTCTTCCTTGGTTACAGTGCATACATTATTTCATTCCTTACTGAAAGACATTTATGTCGTATGACATTTGGTTATTAAACACACTTTTCCACTTATTTTCCTTTGAATACATTCTTGGGTGAAACTGCTAAACAATGGATATGCACCTTAAAGTAGGCCAAACTGCTCTCTAGAGAGGCCGTGCCCATCTAGATCCCCTTTTAATGTCTGTTCCCTGCTTGTGCATCTTTCCTTAGTGGCCTGGATTGTCTTCTCATACATTTATTGGCTATTTTTGCCTCATACACTGCTCATTTGGGCTCTATCATGGCCTTTTATTGCAGTATTTCTTTTTAGAAATGAGACCTGTAAACACTATATATTAAATGTCAACCACTTTGGCCCTGAGATGCAAGGGGGTTCCTCTCTGTCCCCTCTCAGTCCTCCTTCCCTAGCAGAATGCTTGAGTTTTAACCCAAGTCAACTCTACTTTTTTATTGTGTAGCATCTACCTGTCATATTGCAGAAGAATTTCCTTACTCTAGAACCTGTAGTAAGAGAGAGAATGGGGCTGGGGAGATGGTTCAGCAGTTCAGAGCACTTGCTCCTCTTGCAAAGGACTCAAGTTTGTTTCCCTGTGCCCACATCGTGGCTTGCAGCTGCCTTTACATACAGTTCCAGGAGACCCAACACCCTCTTCTGAGCTCCATGAGTACTATACCAAGAGGTGCATATACGTACATGCAAGCAAAACATTCATATGCATAAAAATTCAAAGAGAGAGAATAGGGACATGCTGTGGAGGGAAGGTTCTGGGGGTGGAGGAATGTGACTTGAATGTGTTTATAAGACGATAAGAAGGGCTGACAAGATAGCTCAGCAGGTAAAGGACCTTGCTGCCAAGCCTGATGACCAGAGTTCAATCCCCAGAACCATATTGTAGAAGGAGCGAATCAACTCCCACAAGTTGTCTTCTCATCTTCTCCCATGTGCTGTAACACACACACACACACACACACACACAATGCAGAGAGGTGGGGGAGGAGGCTCTTGGAAAGGGACCACTTGTCCCATATTGTCCCATATCAGGCTGGTACCTTGCAAGGTGCTGTGGGCTCTGAAGTGAGCATGATGAGGAGATGCTCCCCTAGGACAGGAAGGAAGCACAGTGAGTCGGGTGGTTCTCTCATATATAAGTCAAAGGAGAGGGCAGGGAAAATTAAGTCAGTTAGGGACTTCATTCACAGTTCCTCACTTGAGCGTCTCCACAGGATGTAGTGGGGAGGAGGGACACCCAAGAAATGTATAAGAATTTCCAAGTATTGTGGCAGACCCAGCAGTGTTAGAATCCATAAATCTATGACTCTGTCTCTCAAGTGGGTTTTTCCCCAGTTCTTGGCTGTGTTGAACCAGAACAGGATAACAAGAGAGCTAGCAGTTGGGCTTGCTCAGACTTCAGGTGATTGTGTTCCATAAAGATGATCGTAGTGTCAGGTCAGCCCTGGGTTCCAAGCTGAGTAGTGAAGAAAGGAAGCTTGTGGGTATGAAGACGTGGCAAGGCCAGTGTGATAAGCTTCATTGCTCATAGGAAAAGAGCTGTGTGTAGGAAAGTTCTGCATTTTTACACTGGGTACCATGGAGGACTTGGGTAGCAACACAGACATTGACACGGGGCACAGGATATCCCTGAAGAGAATGGTGGGACACCAAGGCTGGTGCTGAGGGCCAGCCTTAGAGTCCAGGGATCCAAGAGGGTGGTTAGAGTTTCATGAAGAAGATGGTGAAACAGGAAAGGCTCAGTCTAGATCTGTAGCAGAAACCTAGACATGAACAAGTGGATCAGTTGGAGTTTAGCAGGTAGGCATATTAACCTTTCATGCTTGACCTAAGACTTAGCTCATAGGTAGCAGGAATCAGCAGGATATGGGCCTAATGAATGAAGGGGAGAGTTTTCCTTCACATAGATACCTCGAGGGGTGTTACAGAGATAACCTTGGATGATGTTATAGAGTGTTGGAGGACCTAGTTTCATTGTAAATAGTTAAATTTTTTAATTAAGGGCTGGGTGTGGTGGTGCATGCCTTTAATCCCAGCACTCAGGAGGCAGAGGCAGGCGGATCTCTGTGAGTTCAAGGCCAGCCTGGTCTACATAGTGAGTTCCAGGAAAGCTGGGGCTACAGGGAGACCCTGTCTCAAAAAGACCAAAAAAAAATTTTTTTTAAATTAAAATGTCATTGTAAAGTAGGTGTGGTGGTGCTTGCCTTTTAGCTAACTGGGTGGCTGAAATAGGAGAATTGCAAGTTTAAAACCAGCCTGAGCAACTTAGCAAGACCCTGCCTCAAAGATAAAAATTTTAGAGGCTGGAGAGATGACTCAGCACTTAAGAGCATTGGCTGCTCTTGCAGAGGACTCAGGTTCAATTCCCAGCACCCACATGGTGGCTAAGAGCCATCCTTAACTTCAGTCCCAGGGGATCTGACATCCTCTTCTGACCTCCACAGGCATTGCACAACATGGGTGCACTTACATACATGCAGGCAATACACTCACACATTAACAAAATAAAAATAAAAATTTTAAAGGGCTAGTGATGAAACAATGATAGAACACTTGGTGTACATGAGTCCCTTCATGAGGAACATATACATGCATGGTCACACATATACACTCATACTCATGCACATTCAGACACACATGTGCATGCATAGGGGAGGGAGGATGTCACTGTAAAATCTAATCATAATATTTAGGATAGGCTTAGACTTTATTGTTGATATTTGTGGTCATTGTTTGGGGTTGCATTTGCAAAACAAGAAAAGAAGGTATATAAACGGCTCTTCTATATCCATAGCCTTAGGAACATGAAGACATTTATATAATCTTGCATTCGGAGTCTACCTTCACACATATTGCACAGTATGGTTAGTGCAGTGTCACTAAACACTTGCTTTTCTTTGATAGGTAAAAAGAATGAATGCTTGATCTGCCGAGCTCCTTGTCATACAGTTTTACTCTCAAAACAGGTAAGTTGAAATCTATTGAATTTGAATATTAGTCATGATAGCATTTCCTTTTCATTTGAGATTAAATTTTTGGTCATTGTAGTATCTAAAATTTTCTTTTATTTTGCTAGATTAACTAGATTTTATAAGACTTCTAAGTAATAAAGGGTATTTGGGTTTTTTGTTTTGGTTTTGGTTTTACTGTTGATTGATTTCGGTTGATCGTTAGTTGTTTTGTGATTTGGTTTTATTTCTGTTTTGTTTTGTTGTTGTGTGTTTGTCGCTATGTGGTCCAAGCTGTCCTTGAACACATGATCCTTCTGCCTCAGTGCTGAGATGACAGGTCTGACCCTCCATGCCCATCACGGTTTGGTCTTAAAACCTCATTGTCGCTTTCCTTCTTAATAATGGGTTGGCCTTAGTCATAGGTTATTGGATTGTGCTATGTTCTTAGACATGAAAATAGGTTAGATTTCTTTAGTACAACACTAGAAATCATAATGCATGATTAAAGGGTTTCTCATAATGTAAGTTTAAAGTCGTTGTTGCTGCAGTTGTCTTAAAGCAGTGCCTTTGGTTCTATCTATAAAGTACAATGGATTAATTTATTATTTGGTATAAACTCAGTATCAAATAATCGTTTTCTTCTACATCTTCTTTCCAAATGTATATTTGAATTAATATCTTTAAACATTATAGTTTCACTACAAATACAGTACAGAATTACACAAAATTTCAGAGAACATAGAAAGTCAATAATGGAGAATGTGGTCATCCCCAGATCCTGTTTCCCAGAGGCAGCAACCAACATCCAGGAGTTGGAACCTCTTCTGTGTATCTCGTGACTTTTCGTTTTACAAAATGGTTTCCCAATAACATCATATTTTGAATATATTTATTTCTTAAATGACTACATAGTACTTTATTGCTTTTTCTTTAAAGAGCCTGTGGAGTTTGTTTTTTTTCCAAATTTTTGCTGTTAAAAGCAAACAAACAAAACAATTCACAACGATAATTTTTGCTAATCTCTGTCTATATATAATTGCAAGAGTATTTTGTGGCATAAATTCTATAAAGTGGAAAAGCAAGGACAAAAGATTGAATGTTTAGATTTTTAATAGAAAGTACCTTATTTTCCTCCAAATGTGGCAGTTTGAACTCCCGGTGCATGCCAGATTCTGCTCTACAGCACCCTTCCCATCATAAGACCAGGGTCAGGCTGACAGCAGAGTCCTTGTCCCTTCTCCAGCTTCTAGATTAGATGTTTAGGGCATTTTTTTTCTTGTTTCCTAATAATTGTGTTTAAGCCTTCCATTTCCTTCTGTGTACTGTGACTCTGTGTTGCCTTGAGGGCTGCCTTTCTGAAATCATTTGAAACCAAGTTTATACCAAAGAATAAGTTAATCTGATATGTTTTATAGATAGAACTAAAGTGTATCTGCTTTCATGTAGGTTATAGCAAATCTTCCTGAGTTCTGAATAAGCTGTAATGTGCTCTTTTTAATGTGTTTGTGTGTGGAAGTGGTGTACATGAGTGAGTGTCTGTGTGCTCACATGGGTGTGGTGGATGCACCTATGGAGGTCCGAGATCAACATTGGGAGTCTTCTTCACCACCTTACTCATTGAAGTAGGGTCTCCCAGTTGAACCCAGAGTTCAACAGTATGGCTAGCTTGACTAGCCATCTTGCTCTGTGATTTCTGTCTTTACCTTACAAGCACTGGAAATACAGGGGGCCCTGCCATGCCCACCTGGCGTTTCATGGAATCTGGGAATCCAAACTCAGGTCCACATGCTTGCACAGCAAGTGCTTTAACTACTTAGACATCTCCCCAGCCCATAATCTCTCTTTATTTCTTTTCTAACTCAAGAATTGTTTCAAAGACTAGTTTTAGAGGTGGGCAACACTTGGGAGGCAGAAAGGTTACTGTGAGTTCAAAGTCAGCCTGAACTATATAGTGAGACCCTACCTCAAAAAAAAAAAAGAAAGAAAGGAGGGAGGGGAGAGGAGAAAGAGAAGGAGGAAAGGAAAGAAAGAGGGGATGGAGGGAGGGAGGGAGGGAGGGAAGAGGGAGGAAGGGAGGGAGAAAGGGAGGGAGGGAGAGAGGAAGGGAAGAAGGAGGGAGGAAGGGAGGGAGGAAGTTACTTTAATTTCTAAGTGGTTAGATTTTAGTTCCACCATCACCTTTATGCTTAGTTTTACTTTATGGCATTGTTATCAGGGACTTTGGATATAAGATACAATTTTTTTTTGGTCTTTTTGAGACAGGGTCTCCCTGTAGCCCCAGCTGTCCTGGAACTCACTATGTAGACCAGGCTGGCCTTGAATTCACAGAGATCTGCCTGTCTCTAAGATATGATTTTTTTAGTTAGCAAGATTTTCATTATGTTTTAATATAAGGTCATTGTGACTGTTCTATGGGTGCTTGCAAAAAGCCTGCTGTCTTTGTTCTCTGTGTGAAGGAGGGAGGGAGCGAATGAGCCAGCAAAGCTGCTGAAGACATAGAGGCTAATTTCTGCTGTTCTTTCTAACATGTCAACATCCTAAGCCACCAGCACATGGTAGGCCCATTCTTTAGCAGCCTCTTAGGAACCCATATATTCCTTGCCTACTGCTCTACCCCACCAGAGGTGCTCATCCTTCCTGTTCTTCGTCCTGTAGCCAGTGGATCTACTGTCATCCCACCTTCATGAGTCCCAGTGTTGAGGGAAAAAGTCGAAGGGCCTCATGCCAGTAGGTTCTGTGGCCTGACCTCTGGCAGTCTCCTGCCAGGCCCCAGCAACCCTGACCAGCCAGGTGCTGCTTCTGTAACCAGTCCTTCCATACACCCACACTACAGTAGCCCCATCCTCAGGGACCTGCACACTACAGTAGCCTTGTCCTTAGGTACTGACTGGTTTAGGGAGCTACTACACAGTAGCTTTGAAAACTTCATCTCTTGGCTCAGCAGTTAAGATCACTTGCTACCCTTCCAGAGGACCTGATTTTGATTCCTTGCACCCACGTCAGGCAGCTCAGAACTGCCTGTGATGCTAGCTCTAGGGGATCCAGCACCGTCTTCTGGCCCTCCAGGGGTACCTGCACTCGTGTGTGTACACAAACACACACACACACACACACACACACACACACTCACATAAATAAAATAAATAAAATAAACAAAAGAAAAAACTTCATCTAAGTATTCATTGCTACTATGTAAAAGTGTGGCTGCTTATTGTCTTACACCAGTGGTAAATGGTCATGCTGATCTAGAGCACTGCACTCGCCGTCTTGGCTCTGCAGTCATTAGCAGGAGCTCTTGTATGGTACTGGATGGAAATGCTATCTGCAGCAAGCTCCCATGTCTCTTTCCTAATTTCAAGCTCAGGTTTTGGGTATTTTGCCAAGTATTGTGTATATACTAGTTTGCTAAGTGTGTTTTTAAGATCATAAGTAGTGTATAATTGTATTGATTCTCTTTCTATAGCTCTTGATACATGCCATTCTTTTTTGCTATATTTTGCTTATGTGATAAAGATTGCATTTACTATTTTTTAAGTTTATTTTTTTAAATTTTAAAAATTTAATAACCACATGATTAGAAGAAGCATTTCATTACAGCTTTAACATATTCAGTAACACATTCCAGAGCAAGGATACATCTCTTTCAAAGGTGGCTGTAAATTTTTAGGTTCACAGTTGAATTAATACAGTCATACCATATTGAACTCAGTATAAACCCTGTAAGACATAAAATTAAATGAGTTTTTAATCCTTTAAAAAAGATCTCCACTTCATTTTAAGACATGCTGTTTCCTACGTTTTTAATGCTACCAACACTTACATGCTTGCACATGTGTATTTAATCTCTATGAATCTGATTATAACTAGTCACAGTCAATTACACTCATATCCTTAGCACCTGAGTATGGATGTAAAGTCATCAGGTAGATTTCACTGGTAATGTTTATCACCTCTACTATTTAACATGAAGTG